AATTCTCAGATTTTATAGTAACATATAATAGTATAATAATTCTAATTCTATAATAAGAAATTCAAATATTAACATTTAATTATACAGTTACATATACTTTAAATTAATAGTCAATAAATAAATTATTTAATAACATTACATTCAATCCAATATAAATAATTGTGAATACATAATCATTATCATCTTTTGTATATATCAACAATATAAATGAAATAATAATAATATCAATAGATTAAAATAGTTATCCAATACCAATATCCTTGATTTAAGTCAATTTTACAATAAAATAAATAAATTTAGTAAACTAATAATTGATATTATCGTATATATGTAATAATCAAAAGAATATTTGCTTCTAAGTTTGGAATGTGTAAAATTTACCAAAATATTATTATGTAAAGAATCTATATAGTGTCAATTTTGATAATAATATAATAATATAATCAGATAACTTATTCTTTTATGTTACTTTTAACAATTATACTGTTTATGTTTATAATCCTTAATTACCATATCATATGAGTTTATATTATAAATTAGAATTAACATCACCTATATAATGTACTGAGTAATTTTATTTAAACAATCCATAATCAATACTAATTACTAACAATACTTTCTATATTCTTTTTGAATTATAAAAGTTTAATCTAACTTATTCATAATCTAATTATGTATTGAGCAATTCAATAAGTTATCCTTAATTAACATTTAATTATACTGTAACTTCAGCATTAAATAACAAGACTTTTTAGCAAACTCCAAATTAAACTGCGACTTTTTATTCAAACTTCACAGAATTTTAGGATTTAAGAAATTTTTCAATTGAACTAAGTAAAGATAATATAATCACTTATTCTAAAAATTTTTCATATCCAATGAATTTAATTCTTGATCGATAAGTTGGATATTGTTATTTAAATAAATCCATAATATAAAATAAATATTGTAGTTTAACTTAATTTTTACAATAGTCTGGTAACATTTCTAATATTCAGAATTACTCATTAATTACTTCAATAAATAACGAATATTTTGCTCTACAGAGTAATTCATCCATTTAAACTTTAAGTAGTGATTTAAGATATCTATTTTATTTTAATTATACAAATCTTACATTTAGTTAATGTTTACAATCTACCTCATATATTTACTCATTATATTCAATTTGTTAAAATAGTACTTCATAATACTTACTTAACTTTACATTAAATTCTTAAGGGTTTATATTAAATCTGAATACAACTTAACTTCCTTAAAATTTTTAAAAGATATCCAAAATGAGCAGCATTTTAAACTAAATTTTTATCTTAGGTACATTTAATTAGATAATATAATCATAATAATTGTATTGGTTTAACTAATCTAATAATAACTTTTACTAGATATCTAATTCCAATAGTTCATGTCAAGACTTCTCTATTGCTTAAATAGTTACAACAACTTCTGCTATTTAATAATATTAATAACTAATTGCGTTTTATATTCAAATTGGTGAAGCAATTTAAAACCTTAGTTTTAAATTTATATAAATTTAAAATAATTAAATCAATATCCAAAAAAGAAATTTTGTAGGATCTTATCTTTGCTTTTACTAAAATAATTGTAAATTAATACTTCCTTCTTTTGTTTTAATTATGTAAACATATAATAATAGAGTAATTATTTTATTAAGTAATTTTGCTAATCAGGATATTAGTGAGATAATTGAATTTAGATTACAATAAAACATATTTAATTCTGTAATTATTGGTACGATTCCAAACTATGGTAATTTCACAAATACCGGTAATTCTTTTTATAAAAATGGGGTTTTGATGTAATAATTTTAATCTAATACAGTAAACATTGTTGGAGTTTATTATTTAAATAATAATAATTATTTGAATAATCTTTTAAATGGAGATATATTGGAACCAATTTTAATGTAAGGTTCATTTACTGCAATAAATAACTCTTATGCAATGATTGTAAATTAAGAATACAAAAATGGAACATCCCTTTATATTTCTAATTAAACAATATTTAATTATTCATTAAGTACTTGGAATGTAACATGTATTTTGAATAGCCACACAAAATATGAAACTAATGTTACTATATTTTGTGATAATGAATTTTCAAATGGTAGTTATAACATTATATTCTATCCTCCTTAATTAGACAAAGTTAGTAAAAGGTGGATATATGCTCTGCTTACAATAATTGCTTTGCTTTTATTTTATTTTTACATTAAAGTTAAATCCAAGACAAAGAATTTAGGATATATTAGTTCAGAAATTGAATTATGATATATTAGATATAATTCAAAGATGAGAAATTATAATCTAATTACTTTTTAATAATAATTATTACAAAATAATATTAGATTTTAAAATTACTTTTATAAAGGTTGTTTATTATAAATAAAATATTAATTGTTAATAATTATATATTAAATTTAATTATAAATTAACAATATGTTCGTTTTATAATAAAGAGTGCTAGAAAGTAATCCAAGTGATTATTATTGTAGAGTGCATAATGGACATCACTAAGAAAGCATTTGGAGATCAAATAGAAACAGACAATAGAGGGACATTTCTTAATCGAATAAAAGAAATTACTTTAGAAACATTTTAACTAAATTATGGTGAAGAGATATTATTGCTGTAATAAGAATTGAGACAATCTTAAGAAACAGTTGAAAAAACAAAGTTAGAGTATTTTGATAGAGAATAATAATTGATTATCAATCTTGAATAAAAATTGTAAGAGCAATAAATATTACAATTAAAAGAATTAAATAATCTCTAAGAAATGTATGATGAATAAAATTAGCTTAATAAAAAGCTCTAAGTTAATCTAGATAGATTAAATAGATAAAATAATGAACTTACTTAATAAAATAATCAATTGAATAAAGAAATTTCAAATTTGAAAGAAAATTATAGTTAATTTGAATAATAATAAAAACTTAAAAATTAAGAAATTTATGAATTTAGACAAAAGTTTGAATAATAAGTGTCAACTAATTCTATACTTGAATAGTAGTATAAATCTATGAAATAAGAGATGGAAAAAGTAATTAAAGAAATGTAAAGAAAGAATCAATCATAAATAGATGAGAACATTATTTTAGAAAATGAAGTTTAAAGGTTGAAATGGGAATATGAATAATTAAAAACAAAGAAACATTAAGAATCTCAAAAGTATAAGGAGGCCTTAGAATAATTGAAATAAAAAAGTTAGAATAAAATAAGGGAATATAAATAAAAACTCAAAGAAGTTTAAAATAAAGATGCCTTTATTATAGAATTATAGGATTAAATCAAAGAATTAGAGGATCAAATTGAATTTTAATAAGGATAACATAAGTAATCAATTAAGAATTTAGAAGTTTAATATAAAAAGTAATTTGAAAACTTAGAATAAAATATGGAGTAGGAGAAATCAATAATATAACAACATTTAAGTAAAAGTTTAGAGAGTACTTTAAATGATAAAGATAGAGAAATATTAAGTTTATTCTCTTAAACATAATAATTGAAATAATCTCTCTAAATTGAACAGGATATTAAATAGAAAAATGTAATAAAATTTGAAGATTAGATTAAATAATTAAATTAATAAATGAATGAATTAAATAATGAGATATAAGATTAGTTAATGAAAATATAACATTTAGAGTAAGAATTAATAAAGAAAGATTAAAATATAAAGTTATTATTGAATGATGTTGATGAATTACGTCAATTTTCTGAATAAACACTTAATACTTTAAGAGAGAATTAAGATTATTTGAGTGAATTGGAAAGAGAGAAGCAATAATAACATGAGATAATAGAAAATATATAGAACTAATTAGAAATTTAAATTAAGGGTTCTTTTTCTTATAAACGATTAGGGGAAGAATTGGAATAGAGATGCAAATTATATAAATAGGAGCATTGTTTAATGTTGGAAGAACAATTAAAAAGATAGGCATCTTGCTAATAAGAAATTGATAAACTTAATGATGAAAATTAATAAAACATTCTTAATTTTGAAAATTAATAGAAGAAATTAAAGTTAGAATTTAAATTATAATCTGAAGAGTAAATGAGATAATATAATTAATTAGAAAAAGAATCATAATAAATGAATGAATAAATTGAGAATTTGGAGAAGTAACATTAAGAATTAATATAAGATTTAGAATCATATATAACATAATATACAAATGCTTTATCTTAAATAGAAGAACTTAAAAATAGAGAAAATGATTTAATTTAAACTTAAAGTAAGAATTAATAAATCTGGAATAATGAGAAATAGGTACTTACTTCATAATTGGAAGATCAAAAAGTGTAATTAAATAAATTAAAATAATAAGTAATAATATCAGTTTGTAAATAAAAGTAATAATTAAAATAATAATTGATTGAAACTAAGTAATTTATTTAAAACAGACTTTAAAGTTATGATATAGATATTAGAGAATACTTGTAAAATTAAATAAAAAGAATCCTTTAAGTAATTATTTCAATTAATTTTAAGTTATCAAATTAAGAGTTATATTTGGAGAAGAGAAATCATGAAGTTATTTTGAAAGAATTTGAAATAGAATTTGATAGAAAGATTGATTAAGTCAAGAGAGAATACAAGTTGATTTAAGAAGAATCAGATATTATTATCAAATAAAAGATGTAATAAATCTATTAATATGATTAATCAATTAATGATTTAAAGAAACAATTAAATCTAAAAATATAGGAATATGATAATTTATAATCATAATTCTTTGTTTCAGATTAATTATGCAAAGAATTATAAAAAAAAGCTGAGATAGATTAAATGCATTCTTAGAAAGCAATTTCTCAATTATAAGAAGAATTGTAATAAAAAATTGAATAAATTTTAGAATATCAATTTAACAAACAGTAGATTTCATTTAGAAGGAGAGATAATACTTTGAATAAAGATATAATGATTTCAAAGTTATGTCTGAAAGGAATATAGATTAAATTTCACGAGAATATTAATAGTAAATTTAATAATTAGAAGTTTTGGTTTAAAAAAATGAAAAAGTAGATTCATCACCTATATTCTTAAAACATTCTTTATCATCAAGTTAAGGATTTCATAGATCTCCAAATATGATTAAATAAAATTGTAGCAATTCATTTATTTATATAGATCATTATTAAAAACCACCAAATTATGGATCTCCTACTTTACGTACTCCTAATAAATCTCCAATCAATGCAAGAGCTGATAAAACCATAGAAGAATTGAGAGTGGAAATTCATTAACAAAAAGAAAAACTATCTAGAATGAAGCTTAATTTTACAGAATCTCAGAAGAAATCCAAAATTTCTTCTAATTATTGATATTAATTTTTATATTTATATTTAACATTCTGCATAAACTATGTAAGTTATATTCTAATCAACTTAGGGCGCCCAAACATTAGTAAGATATTAATCTAATACTATTAGTGCATTTTTGAGTAACATTTCCATGTGTCTCTACATTTGTTGTTGGATGTCTCAATATTGTTATTAAGTTCAATAAATCAATGAAAATAGTGAAAACTTTAAATTTGATGATTATTCTACATATCTAGCTTTAACTATAGGCGGGGCATCATTATTCATACTTTCCTTTTTACTTGGATTGTTCAGAACATGTAAAGAGCACACAGGTGTATTTTGGGGTTAATTATGCTGTCTTGTATTTGGATAAACACTCATAACCGTGGGAATGGGTTTTGGTTAGACATCAGATGATGTGGTAATAAATTAGATATATTCTTTTTTAGTATGGAAAAATTGACTTTACTTTTAATTACCCTGTTGCTGAATTTTGTGCTATATGTGGAATCTTTTTGTAAGCATTACAAAATTGTTATGAACATAGTTTGGATGCAAATTCTAAATGATTCATCATATTTATTCAATATTTATTCATATTTTCAAAAATCTTATACTATTCTAATTTTAGTACATATTATTTAGTTTAAAACAACACATCTTATTAATATAAAATTTATTTTCTTATTTTAATTAGGTTATTGAACAAATAAGAAACTAAATGACGAAATTATATAATAATTAACTATTAAATTTAATAAAATTCTAATAGTATATTCTAATGAATCATTCTTTATATAAGAATCTATTGTAATTGAGAACCAAGAACTTGTTATTGCATACACTCTAATAATTAAATTATTAATTGTTTTATTTAATATTTGGACTTAATGCTTAAACTATAGATTTTATAGATTTCTATCAGTTCAATAGTAAAGGATATTGTAATCAATTTTATCAACAAATAATAAAATAAAATACATATATAGTGCCCTTAAAAAGAATATTTTATAATAATTAAGAATCTTAATTATGTAAAGTTCCAATAAAATTAAAAAATCTAGCCTTGCTATTTGATTTTGAAAATTTGAATAAAATCATAAAAAATTGGAGATTAATATATTGAGTATTATTCTACTGTTGATGGAATTAGTTAAATTTATTAAATTAAATAAATATTGATTGACTCTAATTACTCAGTGATTTTAAGATATAATTATATAAAATTGATGTATTTTTTAAAATTATGGATATTCTTAAATTGAGAGTAGAAATGAATATAATAAAATTAATTTATAGTAATGTTATTGAATCTATAATGATTTTTGATTATAAGTATAATTATATAAGTATTTTTAAAATAGGGTGATGGTATAATATATAAAAAAAAATCTAATAATAATAATTTAAATAGTTTAAAATAAATGGACGAAAAAGCAAATCAAGAAGGGTAAAGGTCAGAATGAAATTTAGGGTTGAGTAATTAGTGATATTTGAAGAGAAAATCACAACAGTAAATGGATAGGTGGCAATTAAGAAGTATCTAAGAGGGAAGTTTTTGGGAAAGGGAGGATTTGCAAAGTGTTATGAGGCCACAAACCTAGAAACAAAGAGAGTTCTTGCTGCTAAGATTATTGTTAAGAGTAGTTTAACAAAAAGTAGAACTCGTTAAAAAGTAAATACTGTTAATTGATGTAGCTAATTTCAGAAATAAAAATACATAAGAGTTTGTAGAACACAAACATTGTACAATTTGAACATGTGTTTGAGGATCATGAGAATGTGTACATTTTATTAGAATTGTGTTCAAATTAAGTAATTATTGAAATTTAAATATAGACATTGAATGATTTACTAAAGAGAAGAAAGAGATTGACTGAAATTGAAGTATAATGCTATGTGGGTTAAATAGTAAATGCATTAAAATATCTTCATGTATAGAAGGTAATCCATAGAGAGTAAGAAAATGTAATAATAATCTAAGTCTTAAATTGGGTAACTTATTTTTGAATAAATCAATGGAATTAAAGTTGGGAGATTTTGGATTAGCCACAAAGTTAGAATTTGAAGGAGAAAAGAAAAGGACAATTTGTGGAACTCCAAATTACATAGCTCCTGAAGTTTTAGATGGAAAAGTGGGTCATTCCTTTGAAGTAGATGTTTGGTCATTGGGAGTCATAATGTATGCTATGTTGATTGGCAAACCTCCCTTTGAAACTCCAGATGTCAAAACTACTTATAAAAAGATTAGATAGAATTTATATTCTTTCCCAGAACATGTACTGATATCAGATCCAGCAAAAAGTCTAATTTCTAGGATTCTAAACTTAGATCCAGCATAAAGACCTACATTAGATGAGATTATGGCTCATCCATTTATGAATACAGGAGGGACAATCCCTAAAACATTGCCTTTATCAACATTAGCTTGTCCTCCGTCAGCATCTTATAATAAATAATTTTAACCATCTACCAGTAGTAGTAATTTAAAGATGTCTACAAATACGTTACCATAGAGATTTATTGAAACTACGCCCAACAATCCAAAGAATACCTAAACCAATGGATCTTCCGATCGTTTCCCCTGTAACTTATCAATTAAATGATATAAGTACAGAAGCCAAGTTAAAGTGGAAACAATATGGATGATAATTTTGGTTCCAATGGTCTAAACAATGCATAGAATGTTGGTTATGGTGGAACTCAAAGGCCATAATCTCAAAAGCCAAATGAATTTAGAAATAGTTAGAGTTAGAAAACTCTTTCTTAACCTTTTGGTGGAACAGGAATGTAAGGAGCATAATCTGTAAATAATATGGAAGTGAAATAATAATAAGCAAAGTAGGAAATACATGTTAAGAAATGGGTTGATTACTCAAGTAGATAAGGTTTAGGTTATTTGTTAAGTAATGGTGTTACTGGAGTTTTCTTTAATGATTCAACTAAAATTGTTCTTGACACAAAGACCTTATAATTTGAATATATGGAAAGAAAAGGATAGGATAAACAAGATATATGTGAAACCTATAATCTTAATGATTATCCATAACAATTAAATTAGAAAGTTACTTTTCTTCAGCATTTCAGGAGTTATTTAGAAGGAGAATTTCAAACTGTTTAAAGTGAAGAGAATGAAAAGAAATAATTAGTTTATGTTAAAAAATGGATGAAAACTAGACATGCTATTATGTTTAGATTATCGAATAAGATTGTTTAAGTAATAATTTTAATAATCATAAATAGGTTAATTTTACAGATAAGACAGAAATCATATTATCTTCAGAATATAAGATGGTCACTTATGTGAATAAAACTGGTGAAAGAAGTCATTATCCTTTGGCAACTGCTCTTGATAGTTAAAATAAAGAAATGTCTAAGAGACTTAAGGTAATTTTAGAATTTTATTATTATTTTTTAGTACACAAAAGAAATTTTAACTCATATGTTAAATGGTGGAGATTCTAAAACAAATTAACTAACAAATGCCAATCTATAAAATCCTTGAATATGAAATATTCTGATTATTAAAATCATGCTTTATATTAATTCAATAAGAAGTTTATATGATCTCATTAACTGAAAAATAATTTCGATCATCTTTATTATTATAATAACTATAAACTAAGTATTTTCCATCTTAAGTTAAACTTTATGATTATTAATGACTCTATATGGCTCTAAGAATTTGTGTTTCTATGCAAAGATTTCCATCACTCTTTTCTCTTAATAAATAGATACTATTCTTCTATGAAATTAAGATTATCTTCTTCTATTGATCTATATAAACTATTGGAGATATAGAGACCTCATTTTGATTTTTAGGTAATTTAATAGTCTTATTTAACACCTCTTAAAATTACTCACTCTATTCTTCATATACATAAATACAATCTAAACCATACATTTCCCCTGATACCCAAATAAATTAAGAATCTTTAAGAAAATATAAAGCATTTCCACATTCTAAAATTGATTATCTAACATCATGTTTGTATTCCCATTGATTATTTTTATTTAAACCCCAAACAATAATTTTTTTATCTTTACTACATGATACTAATTTATTTTCAGATTTATTTAAACTCATAGCATTTATTGCCCATTTATGTTATTCCAATAATTATTAACAAGTTAACATTTAGTTTTATTAAAAATTAAGTCTCCAAACACTTATAATATTTTCACTACTTGTAAACAAATTGTTTTGATTTCCATTAATAATCATACAACCAATAGAATTTTTTAGTTTTTAAAATTCATAAATGCATTTCCAATAAATTTCATTATTTCTTTAAAAAATTTTAATTGTTTTATCTGCAGCAGTGATAATGTAATAATTTAAATTGGATATTAGAATAGCACACTTAATTTCTGAATTATGAGCAATAAATGAAGTTTGAAATTATAAATTACCTTAATTAAAATTCCACACTCCAACTTTACCTTAATTAGTTGAAATCATCATCTATCCAGTCTAATCAAAAATAATGTGTGATATTCCTTTTTCTGACTCTATCTTACTAATCTTCTTCAATTTTATAGAAATGTTATTATTTGTATTAGTTCTAGTTTGATTATCATAATTTTGAAATAGATTACTTATCATTTTTTCACAGTTTTATAATTTTAATTCTATCTCTTTAAATGGATCTTCTTTTAATATGAGTAATTGGTTTATAATAGTTTTTGTATAAGTTCGATTCATTTTATTTATTCGCTCTAATATCTCTTATTATTTATAATGCTATTATCTATATACTAATGATTCTAATTCATCTAAGAAATTATAAACTATTTTGGTCTTAGAAATTTATTAATATTACATTTTCCAATCAGTCACTACTTTAATAAGGGCATCTAAACTTTTCAAAAGGTTATCTCTTATAGATTAGAATTCTATTTATAAGGGTTCAATAAATGTTATCATCTTGTCTATTAAGAATTGCTATTAATTGACTCTATTTAGATACATATCTTGAATAGAGTCAAGAGTTTTCTAGAATCCTTCAACTTTAGTTGGTAATTGAAGATCATCAAGACATTTTTGACAAAGCAATCTTTAATTTCTTTTTAATGCTGGATCAAAAGAGACCATTATTATTTATGCACCTTAATGATTTCCAGCACAAAGGTAATTTTGTTCAATCATATCAAGTAATTATTTATTTAATTATTTGAAATAATGTAGATATTTTATAATACAAATGAGAGATGGAATTATGTTTTTGTTCATAAATCAATTTTATTATAATAATAAATGATTATATTGTTTTTTATAACAAGTACTTTTGCATCTCACATTTATCCCATATTTTAGATATAGACAACTCAAAATTTTCAATTAGAATATGAATCAGGTTCTTTGACAGTTGATTTGAATTCTGAAATGAGTTATTTAAGTAAAGTAGGAAATAAAATCAAATGTAATTCAGCTCCTTTTGGGGAATAAATAAAATGTTAATATTGCTCTCCTGATTGTATTGTATAAGATACATAATTGATATCATCAGAAATCACTTTAATGGACATTTTTAATTAAGAAGAATCAGAACCAATAATATACATTAATACAAATGAATCTGAAATTTTGGGATTAGGATTATAGAGGGGATGTATGTGTATATATAAATATGAAAGCTAAGTATCCTTAGAATCCATTCATTTCAAATATATTTCATATTTGTTTTGGTTATACTAGAGGATTCATTTCTAGAGAATTCAAGAATCCTAATTTAAGTCAATTACATTATAAGGCAAATGAATCCAATTATCAAGTAGATTTAAGAATGATCAAAATAAATGATTAGATGATAATAGATACAAGTGGAAATGTAACATATGTTGATAGTAAAGAACCATTTATTTTATTACCGGAAGATTAATATATAATGATTCGAGATTATTTGCAGGAGTATGGTGTACAAGAGGAAGGGAAGTATTTGATTGTGAAAGATAAATCAAAAGAATTACCAACTATTTAGATGATATTTGAATAAAATGAGAAGATTAGATTGGATAAGGATGCATATTCATATAGACTTGTAGATGGAAGAGAGATTGTTACATTTTATAGATCTAAGATTAATCGTATAAAATTGGGATTACCATTTTTAACTTAATAATTGATTACTATAGATTAAAACAATTAGAAATTATTCATCACTAAATACAATTGTTAAGATTAGTTTAAGTAGACATAATAGAATACTCCTTATTTAAAACATATTGTAATTCCATTGATTTTAGTGTTACTAATATTTTATTGTATTTTGAATTAAAAAGCAAAGAGTGATGTAAAGAAAAGGTAATTAGAATAGTAAGAATTAGTAAAATTGAAGGAAGAGGAAGAAGAATAAATTTGAAAACAAAACTATGTTATATCATTTAATCAATTTATTTTTACGCCAAACTCCAAAAATTGATCCAAAAGTACCATTACCATCAACATAATCCTAATAAAATTCTCCTTTATAACATTCATCATTTGATAAATATAAGGCTCCTTAACCATCTTTAAGATCATTCTTAAAATTACCAACATACTTAACCCAATAACTAATTATATATTGATTTCTTACTTTTCAATGAGATCAAAATTTGAGCAATCAAAAGTAGCATTCAATTTAGTTGGATCTTTATTATACAATGTTCCAAATCCAGAGAATTTATCATTTTCAAATTATCCTTCAAAGGCTTTTTAATTAACTCCATAAAATAGAGTTCCATAACCATGCATTTTATTCTATTTCCATTATCCTTCATAATAACCACCTTCTGCAAATTGATATCTTCCAAATCCATCTTTTAATTAATTATATGTTTCACCAACATATGATGATCCATCTTAATATTATTCAGTTTTGAAACATCTTGATTTATTCATCTCAATCATTTATTCCATTTCTTATCTATAATTTATGTCTTTTTTAACAACATAATTAATTGGTATTTCTGTATAACTCAATGGAATACTATTATATGATGAATTTGTATCAATAGTAATTACATGAGGATTTAATTATTATTGGTTAATTGGCTTTTATGATTCTTTTAACTATGTCTAAGGTTTAATAGATTGAGTTGGTATTATAAATGGACCAACAGAATATGATTACAATCCACTACCAATTAATTATTCTATTTTCTCTTTATCAGTAAATTATTTATTTTATGAAGTAGGATTAGTAAATTAAAGTGAAGAATTAACCAATTATTTATTAAATGAACTATCAACTGAAGCATAACTATTTAATTTTTATTATTATTAAATAGCTGATTAACTTGGATCTTTTATAATCATTTATTCTTAATATTGATAAAATCCTAATTCTTTCTTTTTAATCTTCTTTATTATAACTTTTGGTTTGAATCTTAATTACTCTAGTTCAACCATAATTTTACTAGGTTTGCTTTCAATTTGTTCTTTCAAATGATTTAATGGTTCTGGTTAAATGTCTTCCTTTAAATTCATTGGAGATTTAGAATCTAAACAAATAACAGAACTATTAATCATAACAGAGTGTTCTAAAGATTTAGATATTCCTGAATCTGGAATACCTTTCATTATATTCATTAATTATTTAAAATCTGGTCTAGATACTTCATCCATTTATAACATAGATACTATTACCTATTCATATTTAATTGAATAATTCTTCTTCAATAGTGCTAATTTTCTTGATACATTAACATGTCCTCTTTCAAAACTAATTAAATTAATCTTTAACTTACTCATAACAATCTCTACAGTGATCTAATAAACTGGCTTATAAAATACACATTCCCACACTCCATACATCACTTTTATATAGATTATGTCTTGGGAATTAATTATTCTAATTGATTGCTTCCAATAATTTTGGTGATAATTCAAATAATTTCTAATTTTCTGGATTCTATTAAGCCATTTGAAATGCACTCTATTAAAAATAATTGTCACAAAGTTTTAAAGTATTTTCATTCACATAACTAATAGTCAAAGGTCTAATATTCTAATGAACCAAATGAGTTTCTTGCATTGTCATCAATAACTTCATTATTTAAATTATAAAATACATCAACAAGTCCAAACAATTAATTCCATAATTCTTATTCTGTCCAAAATGCTCCTCTACCTTTTCTATTTACAATTTCTTTATGAAATGAAGTGGAGTAATATTCGCTTATAATATACATAATATGATAAGAAGTGCATAATTCTTATTCCTTCTATATTCCACTCTCTAATATTTTCACTAAATTTGAATGCTCAATCTTTGATCTCTTAGTAAATCCATCATGTTGACTTTCATCCTAAATTATTACTTTCCTCATTGCACAAATCTAATCATATTTTCTAATCAATGTAGCTTTCCCATATCTTGAGTCCTATATTTATCCTTCTTATTTACTCTCTTAAGAACCCATTAGATATTTAATCAATATATATCTAGTATAAAATTATTATTAATTTCATTTTTTATATTATATATATCTAAATACAAATATATATAAACTATATTTTATAAATTCTAAATCATTTATATAGAACAAGAATACGAGATTAAAAAATATAAGAATTATATTTATAATTTTTAAAATATTCTAAAAGAAAATATATACTATTCTCTAATTTTAATCTATTATATATCTAAATTAATGTATTATAATATGTTATATTTTAAATAATATAAATTTGTATTTATATTATAATAAATCAAGATTAATTATTTATTTATCAAATTAAATATGATATCTTGATTTCAATCTAAACATTTAATATTTTAATTTGATAGAATTAATTTTTTATATAAAATTCAATTTGAATAATCCTAGTTTTCCTAATTTTCTACATATTAATATTATATTAGATTATCTCTAATTATTTATTTCTTGTTTCCATTAACAAGATTCAACATTATTATAATAATCTTATTTATGATATCTCTTTGATTATATAAATCTATAAAATTATATAATTCTCTTCAAGTAATTAATTAAATTAACGATCTATTTATATTTATCTAATCATTATTCCAATTGAAAACTAATTTGATTAGATGAATAACAAATTCTCCTAATAGAACTATATTAGAACTCTTAACTCCAGTAAGACTGAGAGTTAATTAGAACCTTATGTTATTTTATTTAAAATTAATGAAAACTAAATTTAGAGTGATGGGATTGAGTATAATCGTAAAAAATAATGAATTCAATGGTAATATACAGAATGAGACATTGTACTATTTACATCGATAGTTCTGGATTCATATTGAAATTTAGGAGGGTTTCTGTAATGTTTTGAGACTGCAGGTAACTTTAATCTTGGACTGCAACTGCGTCGATGTTAATAGAAGTATTTTATGCCAGTATCATCTTTTTGGAAATTGTTCAATTTATCAATCATCTATTTAAGATTTTCTTGTGCTTTAGGATTACGATAAGTGTTAAATCGATTAGAAGGAGGAGACTTTTCCACTACAAAGGCTGCTCTTACTATGGGATCAAGATTCTTGATATAATTAGCAATTTTTGATGATGCTCCACGATAATTCTTGTATCTACCAAGACTCGTTGGATCAGAAAATAGTTTTTAATCTTGAAGTCTTTGGTTAAATAGATTAGAGATTATACTTTTCTATAGGGTTTCTGGCTAGAATGATGCTGTTTATTTAATTGACTTTAGAGAGTATGTCTCCATCATGAAGGTTGGCATCTAAGGTGAATCGATTAAGTTCTAATTTATTTGAGACATACATGAAATAATATAATTATAAATGATAATCTTTTAAATATAAGTAATATGTCAGATTATAAATATACAGTTTCAAAAGGATGATGAAAATATTTTAACTTAAAGTATATATATATTAATAATGGATAAAAAGAAATTAAAAAAGAAGGTTGATGATTCTGATAGTAGTGATTTGGAATAACTATTAGAGATATCTAAGAAATACAAGTAAAGAGTGTTATGAATATAATTAAAGAAATCGACCTAGACCAGAAAAGTAGGAAATCCCAATATTGAAAAAAGTGAAGCCACCTGAACCACCACCTTAACCACCTTAGCCAACAACTTTGCCATAATTATCATCTTTCAAGAAGAGTGAGAGTGGAGCATATAAAGTACCTTAACATCTACATAAAAACTATCCTCATGCTGTGTATGTAATTGGATTAAAATAGTCGACTCTATTTGGGGAATCTGCCAGATAATGTAGATAAGGATCATCTTCACAATTACATTAGACAATAAATGGAATCTCATGGAGCTGTAATTGATCCTGGAGATCCAGTTATACAAGTATAATTGTAACCGGGTTAGAAATATTGTTTTGTGTAATTCAGAAGTATAGAAGAGACAGAGGCTGCATTATAAATAGATACAAGTAATTATTAAGGGAAGTAACTTAAATTCAAGAGAGTTAAAGATTATGAAATTAGTCCACGTATTGAAGGTGAAAGAGAAGTGCCAAAGATTTAACCAAAAGAACCTGCTTAGAAATTATTTGTTTGTGGATTAGCACCTGATACTGATAATGATGCTTTGGCTAATATTCTAAGTGAATATGGCAGTTTGAAATCATTAAATGTTGTTAGAGATATAAAAAATGTATGTAAGGGTTTTGCATTTTGTGAATTTGAAACTGATTTAGAAACATAAAATTGTGTTAATGGATTAAATAATAAAGTTATTGGAGGTAGATTATTATAAGTTAAGAAGAATGCTTAATTGCCTACTCCAACATAAGATTATATTATTGATACTATAACATTAGGAGAATAATAAGCATTTGAATCTAAATTATAATAAATTAATTAAATGAAAGTAAGTAGTGTTGTTGTAATTAATAATGCAGTTAGAATAAAAAATATTGAAGATGATTATGAATATAATTTTATTGTTAAGGATTTAAAAAAAGAAATTGAAAAAATTGGTAGATTAATTAGTATGGTTGTTCCAAGAAAGAAGGATGGTTATTCTGAAGGAATAGGAAAAGTATTTGTTGAATTTGAAAATGAATAATTTGCTAAAATTGCTATCATTTTATTATAAAATAAAAAGTATGATGGAAGAGAAATAGATATTTCTTTTTATGATCCAAGATTGTATGCTGATAAATAATATTGATTTTTATATATATTAATATCTTAATTATCTATTTTTTTTATTCTAAATTCTATGAATAAATAGTATTAATATAATTCTATTTAATCTTAAATATTATAAATATTTTGGTGTCTAAATTAATTAATGAATTATTTAAAATAATCATTAAAATATTTATAAAATTTCGCGCTTATGGAATTTGAAAACGATAGTTCTCAGGCTTAATCTTCATCTTAATTTTAGAATCCATTATTCTATACACCTTCACATAATTAATAGGTTTATACAGTGCCACCAAATACTATTAATCATGTTTAATATTAGAATTCATAAAACTAATTTTGGATTTAAGGAACTAATTTGATAAATCAACAATAAATGATTGTATAGAAAACATTAATAGAATAACCATCATTATAGTTACAAACTCAATAATTTTTTTAATAACCACAAGAATTAAATGATGATGATCATGATCAAGACTACTAACCAGAAGAAGAATAAGGATCTGATTCTACAAGTAGTGATGAATAATAAGAGGATCTACAAGAAGAAGGTAATTATTAGAATAATAATTTTAAGAATAATTTGATGATCCTGATTTTGATTTACAAGCATACCTAAAAGTTCGTGATCAACTTTGATATTTATTATGAATTAAATTTAAATTCAAAATCGACTAAATTCTTTTCGTGCTACATCATAAAGAAAACGAAATACTTCCCAATACACATAACAATCATAAGTGCTTGTCAAAAACAAGTGTGTATAATTTTAGAAGATCAAATAAAATAATCTGCTTGAATTATTACTTATGGATACTGGAACAAGAATGCCATCACCAATATCTAGTTAAATTAGTGTAGGGATAGGAAGAATCCCAAAGGATTTTTTTAATTGATTTAGTTATATATGAATATTGTCATTTTGGTAATCTTTGATTAATATTTGACATTCATTATTCTAATTTGAATTAAACATATATCAATCATTCAATTTTTATATATAGAGAAGGATAGAATGAAATTTTTACAAGAATTCAAGTTAAATAACTTTTTTGAATTTGTTCTGAATTTCTTAAATTGAAGTAATTGAGAGGAAATATTCTTTAGAATTGATATTTTTATAATTCTTATTTGATATAATTATGAACCAATCCTTATAAATATAAAGTGAAAGAATTCTCTTCCCTCCATAATATTTGAATAAAAATTAAAGAAAGTTGTGTTGTTTTATATTATAAATGATGTGTATAAAAATATAATTATTAATGATGAATATATATGTAGATTATATAGAAATGATAATAATCATGCAAGTAAATAAATAAATATAAAATTATATTGAAAAATTAGAAGTAACAGAAACTAGTTTAGTTATCTTATTTAATAAATAAAAAAGACAATATATGGTTGGAATAAATTTCTGAATGTTTCTAACATTAAAAATTTCAATTTAAGAATGTGGGAAAGTGTATTAAACTATAGAAAAAATAAGAGAGATTACGCATATTGAAATTAAATAGTTAAAATGTTCCCATTATAAGATAATCTTTGAGATGAATTACTGTAGCTTTGGAAGAGAATTCAAATGCATAAAAGATTATAAATTATTATGTTTAAATTAGAAGCAGAAAGTACTTGATAGGATTAATGAATTAAATTGAGTATATAACAAGTAATGCATTTCGCCATAATCTCTATGGTATTGATATAAATTTAAGTGTTTCAAGCCACTCTTATACAGCAGTACTCTCGTGTCCATCCTTAAAACATCAAAAAGAAGTCTCCCTAGAGTTCTGATAGAATATCTAAATCAATGGAAAGAACTAAGCAAAATATAGAGAGACAATAAAATAGATCAGAAACTATTGATGTAGTAATGAGACCCAAAGATTCTACAATAGAAGATTCCCATTCACAAAGATTAAAGATCATAAATTAGAGAGTAGTTGTTGTTAATACTTTCAATCGCATCATCAATCTTGATCGTGTTGGACATCGAATGCAACGAGGATAACTATTAAGATATCTAAGAGAATTTTACAGTCAGATTATTGTTGAACAAATAAATAAAGTTTTAAAGGTGCCAGATACATTGACACTGTAGATGTATGAATAACTTGTAACTTACTTGTAACAATTGGATAGATAACAATACTTGAATTTATGTTTTTAGATGTATGATTTATAAGGATAAGGTGTAATTACAAGTACAAACTTGCTCTCCATACTTTCAGTAGAAAAAAATACATCAATTATAGAAAATGACATTTTAACTATGATTAAACTTAGAGCCAGTCTACTTAAGTCATAAATAGATAAGAGTGAATCATCTGGACTACCTAAACTTAGAACCATCGTAATAAACAACAAAAGAACTTCTAAAGGGAAACGTATGATGATATCCCAAATTGAGAATGAAGTAGATCAAATTGTTATGCATCCAATTAATAGACTGAAACTCATTGATAAAAATCAGTTTTATAAAATCTGGAATAATCATATCCCTGGAATAATTTAAGACCTCTTTAAAAACTTGAATGATTATTATTATTAATGAGCACAGAGACGACTGAATTTATTCCTAAAAGAATGGCAGTTGCAGTGGCCATCTTGATCTTATTCCTATTCCATTATGTTACTCTCCTTATTAATGCATTCTTCAAAGGTCCAGAATAAAAAGAATATGTCAATAGAAGAGTATTCCTCTTTGGAATTGCAGGTTTGTTAATCATATATCAATCTTTTTTTAGGTTTACTAAGTATGTCAACTATTTAAAGCAGTGTATTTTCAGCTATACTTGCTTGGCTAACCTTTGTCCCCTTGGCTGTATTGCATTTGTGTATTTATGACAAATTTCAAAATTTAAACAATCATAAAGATAGTCTCTGGCTGGTATATTATGGATTGTAATTTGTTTGGTTCTTAGGAATTATTATAGACTTTTATTCATGATGCATATATTTAAACATTTATCAATTCTATTCACTCTATCTATGAATAGTATACACTAAATTATTATCATAATATGAACTATAAAATCAATTTATTTTCTTTGAATTCTTTATTACATTATTGAGTTGCTCAGCAAACAATCTCCGTATTCTAATCTTCTTAGGCTTATCTTATAAATCTGCTTCCTCCTTTGTAAATCTCCTCAATTTTATTACAACCTCCTAAGTTGAATGCACTTCATCATTTGATTATTTAAGTAATTCAGCTAATTTGATTGTACTATGTTAAGAATTTACAACTCTCTTCTTACTCATCTATGCTGTCATTATTTCTCTAGAAAAAAAGCTTTGATCTGTCTATTTCATTGGAACACTTTGATTTCTTGATAATACACGACTATCCTTGTAAGTCTAATCTAATGTAACTTAATCATCTAGATCATTAAATGCTTTAGACACCTCTCCTCTTTTAATTTCCATTTCATTTTAGCATTTAGATTTAACAAACTGCTTAAAGTATTATTCATAGTTCTATAATTATTCTTCTGAATTCAATTTAATCTTCTAGAGTTATAACATTTATGATAACTCTTTCAGTCTAGATTGATCAGATACTTAACTTAATAATTTATTTGACCATAACTCATTTGTTAATATTAACCCTTTGTTCTTGTGTAATTTATGTACAAACTAATCTTACATCTTATTATTGTGTATTTTTGCTATCACTTCTTTATAGTCAGCCTTTTATGATATACTCCTTGCTATTCCTGATGCCTTCTTCAAGTGCATATAATATAAATCTAAGTTAGCATTTTTTGTAAACGTCTCAAATGTCTTTCTTCTCTATACTAACTTAGGATCAGAAATGATATTTGGAATTTAGAATAAGTACTTAAATTTGTCAGTCTCATTTTACATTATTTTACTTCGATCCTTCTTGTTTATTTAACTGATATCCTAAAAATGAACTGAATTCTTGGGTCCTTTTCCTTATTTTATATGCTTTTAAGATGGAGACTCTAATGAATCCCCCATATTATATTAATAATATAATCTTTAATATTATGTTAAATATAATAAATTTATTTTAGACTTATTAATTAATTATAATTGCTTTTATCATTTATACATTATGTAATGACTCAATACATAAGCATTTTTGATTATTAAAAATTTGAAATATTTTTTGACATTTTTAATTTACCTATACAATTCACATATAAAGGAAGAAAATAAGAATTATCTCTAAAATTATTTCTTATCTTGAATTTTTTGATAAGCAAATTATGAGCTTGTATGCATTAGGTAAGAGATAAGATCATTCTTAAGCAATCTTAACCATAAGACCTGGACCAATTAATTAATTAATGATTATGGTTTTTAATGAATATGCAAATTTATATCATCATAATTCAATTTCTGTATTAAAATACCCTAAATTTCTTGTCTTGTATTTAAATCTGATGTAAAAAAATATTATCAGTAAAATAATCATAGAAAATAGAGCATAAGCTGATGAACTAAAATTAAAATGAAATTTTGGAGGAAGATGAAATGTAATATTATAAATACCTTTTGAAAATACGTTCTCACAATTAAAAAAAACATTCATCAAACCATTTTTTGTATTAGTTACGCAGGTTAAATTATTACTAATTTGGTAATTATGTATCTTATTTTAAGAAATAGTAAGTAATGTTGCATTTTGATATTCTTAATTTACAATCATTGCATAAGAGTTATTTATTGCAGGGAATGAACCTTACATCAAAATGGGTTCCATTAAATTTTGATCTAAAAGATTATTTAAATAATAAGCTCCAACTATAAATTAACCTTGAATTTTAAATTGTTGCATCAAAATTCCATTCTAATAAAAAGAATTAGCAGTAATAGCTAAATTACCATAATTTGGAATTGTTCCAAAAATTTTGCCAATTTAAATTTCTTAACTTTAAAATGGAATTCTAAGATAAATGATGTAGCTAAAATAAATATCACTCACAAGTAAAATAGCTTTTTTAGAATAGATTTATAAAATTAGAATCTAATAATAATAATACTATTAAAGATAATANAATACTATAGGCAACTTATAAAGAACTTGCATTTACAGAAATATTAATTGAACTTAATGTAGTGAATTAGTATGATTGAATTGTGCTTTTGTAAAAGCAAGACAGTAGATTAAGTGACTAATTAATATATCCTATTAAATATTATCTTGAAACGAAAGGATAGTTCATTGAAATAAATGATAAAAATTAATAACTCTAAATAATTTCACCAACATTTTAAAAAGTTATTAATTTAAAATTAAAATAGGGTTCATCTTAGTTTTGGTTATATTGTAATAGTTGACCTGAAAAATTATAAAAAGGATTTATGGGTTCATAGTTTAAAGAAGACTATTAGAATGGGAAATCTTAATTATACATTACATATATATTTGTATCATTCTAAGATAATACTTAAAGGTAAAAGTTAGAGTAAGTATAAATTTAATTTCCTTTACTAATGTTCTTGCAAATAAGTTAGAAAGTATAATTTAATCTTGAATTTTCTTAAGTAGTTAAGTTAATTGAAAAAGATGTATATTTAATTTGATAAACTTTAATTTCTTAATTAAATAAAAATAATTGATTATCAGAGTTGAAATATAAAAGGGAATTGTTTTAAATAGTTAGATTATATGTAAATTGTTCTTTTGTTTTTTATTGTTTAATCAATATTTTATCAATGAATTAACATATTATAAATTAGTCACTTTAAAGTATTTTTAATATAGGCTGACTAAATTAATTAAGAAGTCCTTAATTTATTGTTATTATTATATTCTAACATCCTAATAATAGCGATTTTTTTATTTTTGATAATTTTAAATATGATAACTATATTTAATCACATTAGGAATAACTCCATAAATTATAAAAAACATTAATAGTTTTAAAATTACTCATACCATCATAGCTAAAATTATAAATCAAATTAAATTAATAATCTTAAGATATGGATAATTAGAGAATGTTTTGGAAAGTAATTGCATAAATATTTGGACTTATTGTGATTGGTATATCAAAATCGATAAATTAGTTATTTAAGCTACTTAAATTTTAAAATGATGATGAAAATAGTGTAAGTATTGAATATTTCTTAAAATATTAGGCATATACAATAAATATATTTGTTCCATTTACAATTGATTATATTTTAGTTGAATTAGGTAAATTTGATGATATTTAATAAGCAATTATTGATTATGAATCTATTATTTGAATTAATAAGACTTCATTGTTATAATAGCAATCCACCAAAATTTTCTAATTTAAAAACAAATTTATATTAAAACAATTATACAAAGGATCAATTAATACAGATACTCCAACCTATTGAATCATTTAATTCTTCCATTCATATATAATTATTTCATTATTATTAGATAATGTACTAAAATGTGTATTATTTGACGACATTGAAATAAATTCTATAATAATAATCTTAATAATTTACATTGTCCTTAAATTTAGTATATTTCTTCACATTAATTGATTAATTACACATTTGGAATTTAAGGATGCATTTTGCAAATTAATTAAGATTCTTATAACAAACTCTCCAAATAGTATTCATAAAATTCTCCTACAGTTGGGTATAAAGATATTTATTAATCTTTATAAAATTAAGTATTAGGAAATATACAGATCACTTTGATTAATAAGAGTATGATAATCATTTTATTTTAATATATTTTATTTTATTTTATACAATATTATATTGAATTAATTTGATTATTATTGCAAATAATACATATTATTAAATTGTTATCCAAAAATATTATGTAATTTATATTTGATGTAAAATAACCATATTTAATTAAAATTCTTTTATTAGCATTAATATTATATAATTCATTTCCTTAATAAAATTATTTTTATCTTAATATTAATAAATAGTAATAATTTTTGAAAAATCTAATCTATAAATTCAATAATATTTTCATTACTATCTTGTATAGCTACATCAGAATCTTTAAGTCTAAATTAATTTAATTTATAAAAATCTATTAATTATCAATAAAATATAGATAAGATTTTTATATTTTTATTTATTATTATGCGAAAAATAATATTAATCTTCACAATCTCTTCTCTTTAATTTTATTTTTATTTTCATATTCTTTTTTAATTAAATATTGTCCAATCTTGTTAGAATACTAAAATATGATTAATATCTCAATCTTATGTTACTCAAAGGAATTATTAATAATAAATAAAACTAATTCTGTTTCCTTTAGGTATATATAATAGTGTTCTTTCAAAGCATATCTATAAATAAGTTAATTATTTAAAAAAAGTCTAAACTTCAAACAATTATTCATTTGTCATCTCTACTTGATATTAGTTAATCTTCTCTTTAATTCAAAATGAAGCAATTAATTGTAACTTTAAGAAATTTATAAACTTTAGAATTCCAATAGTTGATATCAACCTAAATCCTACAAATGATCTACTTATCTGCAGAACTTGAAATAAAGTTATTTATTAATTTACTATAAACTATAAATTTAACATGAAGCCTGCCGTTTTATAGTTAACTTTATAGAGACAATCTTCTATTTTCAAATTTCAAAAGTTTAATTTACTCTATTTCATTCGAAACCTTTATAGATTTAGTTTTATCAAATAAAATTGCCTTACATTATCCTTCTTATTTATTATATTGATTTTAAATCAATTTAATATCTTTCTTATTCTAAATTTTATATAACTAATGATTTTCTTAATTTTATTGTCGATTTAATAAATATTATTTAAAATAAACCAAATAATTATTTTTCCCCGAACAACGTAGATTCAAAATAATCTTATACTTAATAAAGTTTTGCATTCTTCATCTAATTTAAAATATTTATATCTTTATATTTTTATAATCATCTTATTTATAGATTTAGAACTTCCACTATATTTTACAAATATAAAATTTTAATGAGTATTCATTTACATTTTATTTCTCTTAATTAGATTTTTTTGTACTTATTATAATAACCTATAGAATTCTATTTTATCATATTATTATTAAATTAGTAAATTATTATATCATAGAAATAGTAAATCTTAGGAAGTTTTATCAAATTGTCATAGATTATGAACTATATTAATTTATTTGGGTATGTAGGAAAAATATCGAAATTGTGTTATTTTTTTTTTTATATTATTGATCCTTAATTTCAATTTAGATAGACAAACTAAGTTAAAAAATATATATTATCTTATTTCTAATATATA